CAACTTGGGACATCCACGAAAGGAAATCTTGGCCAAAATGCTCAAGGACCGTGGATGAATCGGTTCAAGCAGCCGTTCAGGATCTTCATTGTCCTTACTGTGAAGTCCATTCCGTCAAGAAGGGCAATGCACCAGGTCATCTTGACCGCCCCGCTGAGTTCAATGCCCAACTCCAAGCCGACGTTCTTTGGCTTGAGATGGACGAGATTGGCATGCTTCTTGAACCTGGCCATCGAAAACAAAAGGCCAAGAAGATCGCGGTGCTGGTGATGGTTGATGTTGCAACTCGCTATATGGCAGCTCGCACCATTCCTGACGAGAAGGGCCCGACCTTGCAGAAGGCTCTTGAGCGAGCGTGGATTCAGTTCCATGGACCTCCGAAGCAGTTGTATACTGATGAAGGCACTGGCTGGGCTTCGGATGCAACCTCATCATGGTGCGAACAGCATGACATTGAATTGCGCATCTCACCTGGACAGGCTCACACTCGCACAAGCATTGTTGAGCGACGCCACCAACTGGTTAGAAAAGCCGTCTCCATCTTCATGCTGGAAAATGAATTGAAGGGACTCGATGGAGTACATCAGGCTTTGGCGTGGGTGGTCCCCGCAGTCAACAGCAACACGTTTGTGAATGGCTTCACCCCCTCCCAGTTGGCACTTGGCAGAGAACCATCACTACCTGGCCTCGTCTCCGACGAACGAACTGGACCCTTGCAACTGCAGGTATCCGAGCAAGAACGTCTTCATCGACGATTGGCCATGAAGTTCTCAGCCCAACAAGCATGTGGAAAGGCAGAAATTGATGTCAAGCTTCGCAGAGCTTTGCTGCGACGCTATGGTGGACGAGACGAAGATCTTCATCCTGGTGAGCGCTGTTTGTACTGGCGCGATGCAGCCGACAAAGCCCACACCATCCGATGGAAAGGTCCTGCAATTGTTTTGGCCATCGAGCGCAACCCAGACACTGGAACGATTGCATGTTACTGGCTTGCTCACGGCACCGTGCTCCTTCGCGCTGGATCTCAGCATGTGAGAAAGCTGGTCAACGACTCTGGCATGGTGAATGGCTCAGATCGGGTGAAGCAAGCACTTCATGACCTTCGGCAGCGCCGGGCAGTGCGCATCATCGATCTTCGCAAGTCCAACAAGAGATCGATTGACGAGGTGGACCCAGAGATCAGTGACCTCGACTACACTCCAACAGACACTGAGGCTTCACCACTGACTGTGTCTTCGCCTGCAGCTCCCGAATGCTCCCGATGGTCTCGAATCTGGAAACAGCCTTGAGCCACCTCTACATGATCATCCAGAGCTGGCCTCCGAAGATGAAGAACAGCCGATGGATGAACCTCCTCACATGAGTACTCCGATGGCTCCTCCAGATCCTGCTAATCTACCACCAGTACCAGAAGACAATGATCTTGATCTTCCAGATCCCAATGAGCCACATGCAGGACAACATGAATTACCTCCACAACAGGCAAGCAGCAGTGCTCCTCCTGTGGTTGATGCTTCCTATCATCCACCTGAGACTCCGGAATCCTTTCAGGACCGCCGTCGACGCTTCGATCAACAAGAAACCATCTGGGCAAGAAAGAAGGCCCGTACTGATGAAATCGAAGTCGAAGTGGATTTGCACTCCTTTGACCTCACCAAGTCCAACGCTCTCCCTTCAGGCTGGCACTACGATGTGAAGAACAACGAATTTGTCTTGGGAGCCACTCAGGACTGGTGGAGCTTCGAAGATGGTTTCCTGGTCCGGAATCATGTATGGGGTCGCACAACCACATATCATCCGGAAGAGTTTCCCATCGACAAAGACCTCTTGCAAACAACCACCGGTTTGTCAACGCAACAAGGTTCACGAACGATCTATGTCAACTCCTCCGAAGAGCAGCACTTCAATGAAGCCTGGGCCGGAAAGACTCTCTACCCACTCACCTCCACAGGAGCTGAACAGCATGGTCTTCACTACATCGGCGACCTCACCAACAAGTTGAATCGTTGCAAAACCCTGCGTCGCCGAGGTCACATCTGGCAGGCTGTTGGTGCCGGTGCAGTTGCCCCCAAGAAGAAGAATGTCAAAGAAAGCGCCGACCTCAACGAGAGGCGCATGAGCTTGGAAGACAGACTGTCATTCCTGGAGGGCAAAAAGGCCGAACTGTCAAGTATTTTTGAACATGGTGTTTGGGAGATTGAGATGAACCCGGAGACCGTCGACCACAGCAGAGTTATGAAAGCCCGCTTCGTCCTCAAATGGGCAGCAGATGGCAAAGGAGGCTTGAAGGCGAAAGCACGCCTAGTCTTGCAGGGTTTCTCTGACCCTGATCTCCTGCAAGGAGCTTTGGACACTTCATCACCCACATTGTCGAGAACCTCGAGGCAAGTCCTGCTGGCAATCAGCCAGATCAACCACTGGCAACGATGGACTGCAGATGTCTCCACAGCATTCCTCCAGGGAGATCCTCAAGAACGTGTCCTATGGGCCAAGATCCCCAGAGACGCTTGCAACCTCATCGGAGTCGCCCCTGGAACACTCATGAAGTTGATCAAGCCGATCTACGGCCAGGCCGATGCTCCTCGACAATGGTTCATGGTGGCAAGAAGAAGGTTGGAAGGCCTCGGATTCCGTCCCCATCCACTTGATCAATGCCTGTACACCTACTACGACACCAGAAAGGCCTTGATCTCAATGGTCGGACTACATGTCGATGACCTACTTGGCTGTGGAAAAGATGGTGCACCAGAATATGAACACCTCAAGAACCAGCTCAAAGAGGCATTCAACTTCAAGCACTGGACCGAGGAGAGTGCTGAGAAACCTCTTGAGTTCTGCGGCTGTCACTTGAGTCGGGATGCAACAGAGTCCAAACTACATCAAGCTGAATACCTCAAGAACGTCAAGCCCATGACTTGCACCGACTATGATGCCAACCGCAACCTCAGCACCAAAGAGCAAAGCTGTCTTCGTGCCCTGTTGGGCGCATTGCAGTGGCCAGCAACTCAGACTTCACCTCACTTGAGCGCTTCAGTCTCCCTGCTATGTGGCGAGGTCACTTCCGCCACTGGTGACACAGCAGCTCAGGCCAATAAGGTCCTTCGCTTCGCAAAGTCCAACAGCGATGCGGCCCTGACCTTCAGAGATCTCGGTGGTGACATGGAGAAACTATGTATGGTTGCAATGAGCGATGCTGCATGGGGAGTCCGCCGCAACAGTGAGTCTCAAGGAGGCTATGTGGTGTTCCTCTGCAACCAGCAGATCTTGGAGGACGGCTCGACCCAAGACTACACGATCTTGGATTGGCGCAGCTTCAAACTACCTCGGGCGAGCAGGTCTTCACTCAATGCTGAGAGTCAAGCATGTTCAGCTGCGATGGACGCCCTTGAATACCTCCTGATCTTTTGGGAAGGTTGCATACGCCATGACTTCCAGTTGAGGCAGGTGGACGACTTCACCCCAGAGATGGCTTCAGCACTTGTCGTGGACGCCAAGGCTCTCTACGACTCCCTCAAAGCCGAGACACCGAGCTTGCAAGGTGACAAACGCACCAAGATCGAGGTGATGGTGACCAAGCAGAAAATGTTGAGTATGAAATCACGCCTCAAATGGGTCTCATCTGAGGCTCAGCTGGCCGATGGCGTCACCAAGTTCTCAGCTCGGCAACTTTTTGCTGATCGTCTGAGGTCACACCACATCTCCCTCCAAGCCGACATGAGCTTCCAGGCCTCCAAGAAGAAAACGATGGCTGAAAGACAAGCCAGTGCTCGACGACATGCCATCACGAAGACCGGCAACTCCAAGCACCTGGCATTCGCTGTCCTCACCTCACAAATGATTGGGGTGAAAGCTGTGACCATGGAGGACACCCTGACCTTCATGCTGAGCCCGGAAGCGATCATGATCCTCTACACGATGGCACTTAGCATGCTTCTTTGGCAGTTCTTTCGCTGCTGTAGCTCTACTTCCTGGTGCTCCTCGATTACCAGAACCACGTGGACTATGACATCCACGAGCTCTACGGCAATGGGCACACAGACAGAGAAGGAGCCAGAAACTGATCTCAAGATCTTGATGTCCGAAAACCTCCGGCTTCAGGATATCGTCCGAGATCAAGAAGCCGAACTATTTGACCTACAGGCTCAATGCTCTGCCCAAGAGGAAGAGATCGAGCAGCTGATTGACACCAAGCGCTACATGCAGTGCGAGCTGCGAGAAGTTGAAGGTGAGTTCAGAAAAGCAAGAAACAACTGGATCGATGTGCACAACCGCCTGGCAGCAGTCCAAGATGATCTTGCTCGAGAATGGCTGCCCCGGACGCTCTTCACCACCAAGAGCGGAAAGTCCTTTCACACGACCCCTGAGTGCCAAGCTTTGTCTTCAGCAGACCACTCGCAAATGAAGCAGTGGGATTGCTGTGCTTACTGCGGCCAAAAGGCCCTTGAGAGGTGGCGCATCGACATTCCGCCGGCCTTGTTTTGAGCTTAGGTTTCCTACAACCACCGGTGTGGATTTCGTGCCACGAAACCAAGTGGACATGTTCATTTTGAACTTGAGTTCTTGTGCATGCAGCTTTTGGCATTTCCGCCGCTGCTACTTTCGAATCCTGCTCCTACGCAGGGGCCCCTTGAGTCACGACATGACAGGCAACGCCCTAGAAGAAAAGACCGTGTTTCGTTTTCACGTGAGCACTTCGAGCGGCTTTCACGTTGGTTCGCTTTTCGCGTTCTTTCATACTTACAATTAGTAGCATCCGGACGCAGTAGAACGAGGGTTCTTCAGGAAGCTTCGTTCGCCTGAGGGCGGGAGATGAAAACGGGAGAAACTGCCTTGAAGAAACCTCGCTATATGAAACGGTTCCTAAATGTTTATTGTCTTTGCAAAATTCACACAAATGCTTCAACGCGTCAACCTCCTTCATTCCTGCAAATCGTTTCAAAAGTTTGTACACCAGAATCTCAAACTTCCAAATCAAGAAGTCCAGATTACATTCAAGACGCCTTCTGCACCAGATCTGCCGGCAACGTCACTATGCTCTGCACAAAAGCATCTGCCAGTGCTTTCAGGAATCGGGCCATTGCAGCAACAGAGGGCAGTCCAGGTGCAGCAGCGTTGATACTTCCAGCCGTCAAATCTCGGCGGAAAGAAAGCCATGCCGTCAGGGTCTTGAGTACAAATGGAAGATCTTCTGGCTTCAAGCATGATCGAAGCATCTGTACATCCGAATGCCCTTCTCCTTGGCAATTGCGCACGAGACTTGCAATGAAGCTAGAGTCAATCTCATCATCTGCCTCATGTTTCCTCTTCCTGCTGAGTGCTTCTCCCAAATCAAATGGTGGAGCATCTGCCGGTGCACCTCGACCTAACATGCTGGCAAGATGATATCGAGGGAGAGTCCAGCGGATGGCCACAAAGGATCCTTCCACTGAGGCTAGAGAGAATCTCTCAGATGTGCAAAGGAAGAGAGAATCTCTCTTTCCGCTTTCCGAATTTTTGAGCTTTCCGTTTCTCGAAACATGTCCAGTGCCCACAATCAAGCCATACTTTGAATCTCGCAATCGGAACCTCACCCCATCTTCAACAAACCACTCCACAAAGTAATCTAGTCCCATCAAATGCCAGTGAGGCCTATTTTCGCTTTCATCCGAAGCTCCAGAAAAGGCTCCTAAAGCTTCAGCTCGCAGGGTGTGAAGATTTGCCAAAGCAAATCGCCTTCCTTGTTCTGAGCATTCAGAATGCTCAGCTTGCTTCCCATTCAGAAGCCCATTGGTCGGAATAGGAGCTGTTCTTTTGCAGGCAAGAATGATGCGCGGCTGTCCAGCCTTATCATCTTGTTCTCCACCAATCGCATCAATTGAGTCAAGCTCAAAGTTTTCTCCGAGGCCATGACTGAGTCTCGCCAAGCTTCCCATTTTCAGTACGCCACTTTGCTGGATTTGTGCATTGTTCATTTCATCCAGCTCCACAACAAAGAATTGCACATTGAAGACATTCACAGCTTTTACTTGTCTCATCACGACTACTTGGCGAGGCTTCACCTGTGCCATACAAAACGGCTTCGACTCTTCCTTGTCAAAAAACTTGGGTCGAGCTCCTTTCCCACAAGCTTTGCCAGTGGTCAGGTCTGCAAATCGCAGTTGACCGGTGGAAAGAACCATTGCTGCAATACCCTCTCCTGCGGGGCATGTTGCCATGACATCACCTGGAAATGTCATTCGTCCCACAATGGACTCCTCGGAGATTCGATAGCAAACAAAAGACTTCGCCGGAGACTCCACAAAAGAGATCCAACTGGCATCTCCCTGATTGTAGTGAAAAAGACCAAACCCTGGTGTAATTGATCCATTGAATTTCATCGCTTCCTTCCACTGTCCTTCAGACAGGTCCACATATTTGAAACCAAAAGCAGCAAAGAATACAATGAAGCATCCTTCACTTCCTGTACATGCTATTGCCATAGGCCTTGCGTCCACCTCATCAAATGAGGGAACTGCAACCACCTCAAAATCTATATCCTTCGCATCCATCATTCAAAGATGCTGCCCTGCAAAGCCCTTTGCTCTGCAGCTCCGTCGGATTTGGCATAGGTATATAACTGGGCCAAACAGCTACTTGGTGGCAAAAATCTGTCCATCAACGGACGAGCAAGCGAATTCAGGAAAGTTAAGGCAAAGTCTGATTTAGGATTCCTGAATCGTGATTGAATAAGATGATCGATGCCTTTGATGCCCTTGTGGAATTGCGATACGGCAATGGCAATGGCATTCACGAATCGATCCAGCACAAGGGATCAACATTGAAACATGAAAGTCGATGGTCAGATGTTGTGAGCCTTGGGGCAGGAATAGCGGGAATAGCTATCTAGTTCCATATATCTTTTTCTTTGTCGAAGAGGTTGTTGCTCAACACTTAGAATAAAATCCTAGAAAAGGAACCGAAGCAGTGCAAATGTCTTCGCAGAGAAGCCAAGGACGGTTTTGCCGGAAAAAGGTAGCAAAGGCAAAGCATGCTGGAAGAGGCTAGCAAGAGCGACTGGTGTAGCTGTCAATGGTGAATTTTGAGTAGCTGCCCAAACTCTTTTTTGATAGCGCCTTCTGACATAAAAATTGTCATCCAGTCATCCCAGCTTGGCAAAAAGTACAGCGTATAAACTGTGAGGGTACCTAGATCACCACAATGCCAACTCTACCAAAGCGATAACAGCACTGCCTCAGTTCCTCGAAGCTTGCCATCGCCACAGATTGGTGTGCAAACTGAGGTGGCATTCGTGGCTGCGAAGACATAGGAACGGCAAATCCATCCATCCTGCCACGGTGCTGGCGATATTTGGCAGAAAACCCAAAGGTGTTTGGTTTCGGATTCAGAAAGGCATCTTTTCATAAATTTGGGAGCACCTCCACCTGGCATGCTGAGTCACAGCCATCTTCCAAGTTTAGGTTCCCATCATCGCAAGCCTCTCAAGACATGTAACTTCTAGACATCCAAAAAGGGCTCGGATTTAATTTGGAATGTTTTTGTTCCCCAGATAGCGAAGCTATGGGGTTCATACTTCAAATAACAATGAGTTGCCCGTGCGCGCTTTCGAGACAGGTCACGTGGTGGAGACAGGTTGCCGGTGCCGGTGCTGGGTGCCGGTGCTGTGAGCTGGCTGTGCACGTGGTGGAGACATGCTGGCGCTGGTGCCGGGTGCCGGTGGAGAAAGGTTGCTGGTGCCGGTGCTGGTGCTGGGTGCTGGGTGCCGGTGCTGGGGCTGTGAGCTGGCACTGTGCACGTGGTGGAGACAGGTTGCTGGTGCCGGTGATGGTGCTGTGAGCGGGCTGCACGTGGTGGAGGCAGGTTGCTGGTGCCGGTGCTGCCGGGCGCCGGTGCTGGTGCTGTGAGCTGGCTGCGCACGTGGTGGAGACAGGTTGCTGGCGCCGGTGCTGGTGCTGGGCGCGTGGTGGAGACTGGGCGCCGGTGCTGGCGCTGGCTGCGCACGTGGTGGAGACCGGGTGCCGGGTGCTGGGCGCCACCGACCAACCGCCGCTTCTGACAGTGAAGTGCCAGCAGTCATGGGCCGCGTGAACTTATGCGCGCAATATCATACGGTGTTGTCGCTTGAGCGTTCTCTGTCTATGAGCGCTGTGGTGTATTTACACTCTTCAGGTTCTGTTTTGGCGGATGGCTGTGTCAAGGGCTATACTGTTTGCGCGCATACTTTTGTACGTGCAATGTTCTATGCGCAACGTCAGGCTCTCAACCGACCATTGTTTCAGCATGTTTCAGCCTGCTACACACAAAATAGTCGTGCTGGATACTGCTTGGCCTTGGGCGAGTGAAGCCTACGGGCTTTGCCGTTTGCGCGCATTCTTTTGCGCGCATAAACTTATACGCGCAAAATCATACGGCCTTATCGTTCTACAGATCGTTGCTTCAAGCATGATACAAAGGCAATAGTGGCGCTGGATACTGCTTGGCCTTGGGCCAATGACACTTACGGGCTTTGCTGTTTGCGCGCATACTTTTGCGCGCATAAGCTTATACGCGCAAGATCACACTAGGGATAGCTATGGGGTTCCTACTGCAAATAAGAATGAGCTGGGCGCGCGCTTTCGAAGGGGTGTCGGTGCTGGCGCTGGTGTTGTGGTCCTGGGTGCTGGTGGCTGAGCGCGTGTTTGCTGCTGCCGCCGCCGGCGTTGTCAGCTGGCAAAGCGCACCGGCGCTGGTGTCAGCTGGTTGCGCGCGCTGTGGAAGCGCCGTAAGCTGGCTGCGCGTGCAGGCTGTGTACATTCTTGTTCCAGCCAGTCGCATGTCAACAGATCGTGGGACGCTGCCGCTATCTGGGTCTATGCTGGCTTATGTTTTTAAAGTTTGTTTTTCGTGTTTCGTGGCAGGCGCAGTACTTTGTGGACCTTGCAATGCACATTTCGTGGCAGGTGCAGGACTTTGTGGATGTTGAAGCGCAGATTTCGTGGCAGGTGCAGGACTTTGTGGATGTTGAAGGCAGGGGAGTGCAGATTTCGTGGCAGGCGCAGGACTTTGTGGATGTGGAAGTGCAGAGTTGGTGGCAGGTGCCGGACTTTGTGGGCCTTGGAGTGCAGATTTCGTGGCAGGCGCAAGGCTTTTTGTGGACCTTGAAGCGCAGATGATTTCGTGGCAGGTGTAGTACTTTGTGGCCCTTGGAGTGCAGATTTCGTGGCAGGCGCAGGATTTTGTGGAAGTGCAGATTTCGTGGCAGGTGCAGGACTTTGTGGATGTGGAAGTGCAGAGTTGGTGGCAGGTGCAGGACTTTGTGGGCCTTGGAGTGCAGATTTCGTGGCAGGCGCAAGGCTTTTTGTGGACCTTGATGTGCAGATTTCGTGGCAGGTGTAGTACTTTGTGGATGTTGAACTGCAGATAGACAGATAGAAAGATAGAAAGATAAATGGATCGATAGATACATAGATAGATAGATAGATAGATCGATAGATCGATCCATACATAGACGAGGCATATTTGCTTGGTTAGAAAGCTTTGCACCGGGGAGTTGGGGGGGGGCGCTGCGCCCCCCCCGGCAGCACACCAGATCCAAAGGTGAGCAGCTCGTGCTTGCTTGCTTGCTTGCTTGCTCGCTTGCTTGCTTGCTTCCTTGCTTCCTTGTTTGGTTTCGTCTCTGCACGCAAACAACAGGAAAGACAAATGCGCAAAGAGAAAGGAGAACAGCTGCCAAAAAGAAAGAAAGAAAGAAAGAAGGATAGATAGATAGATATAGACAGATAGATGGATAGGCCAAAAAGCCAAAAGCCACAAAAGCCACAGAAGCCACGAAAGCCAAAAGCCACAAAGGCCACAGAAGCCACGAAAGCCAAAAGCCACAGAAGCCACAGAAGCCACGAAAGCCAAAAGCCACACAAGCCAGAAGCCAGAAGCCACGAAAAACAAAGAAAACCTTAAAAGAAAAAATCCGTCCTCCATCCAAAAACAAACTATAGTAACATACCATGCAATCGCAAAGTCTCACATATCATTTCCAGGTGTTTTCTCTTGCCTCCCCTTCGAGGCGCAGGAAGTCCCCACAAAGAAATCGGCATGGCACCTAGGTGAAATCGGAAAAGGATACACTTGTATCAACATTATTGGTCGGAAGGCATCGGCATCAGCCATGCGATGTTGCTGCGACATTGCATAAAATCGTTGAGAATGCCTTTTCAAAAGAAAGTGCGGGCAAAGTGAAAACAACCCTTTGATTGGCACTTGCATACATCAAAATCAAAATCTGATTGTGGGAAAAGAACAAGTGGATGCGTGAACTCAAATCTGAAAGGCTCTGGGCACACCGACTCCAGGTGGCCAGCACTGGTAGCCCTGAACTATTCATTCTGTTTTGTTGCTAAGGATGCTTTCTGTCTTGCTTCATTTCCCCACGACCGTTTCTTGCATGGTCCAAACAATCTCGACATGTGGCGGCAAACAACGACCGCAAACATTCAACTTGTCCGAGACCTGTTCAAGTTGGCATTGCTCGTCGCAACCATCCTGGGCAAAAAGGAAGCATCACCACCAAGGGCATGCTTGTTGCGATCCTGAGACTACTGGCCCCCTTGCCAACGTTGCCATCATCGCACTGCTCAGGAGCAAGGAGAAGACCATCTCCGCCTTGACTAACTTTTGCTTGAACACGTGTTCTTTCAGAAACAGGCTTTGTCGCTGCTGCCTTTTCCTGAGCCCAATACAAACTGGAGAGCACATTGATGCCGAAGAAGTGCCTGTAAGGCAGCATGTGACCAAACAGGTTTTCAGTCGAAGCACTGGTGACCAAAATCTGCCTCATGAAAGGCATCATTGAAAATGCACAAGTGACCCCGGCACGAGGAAAAGAATGGCATGAAATGAATGGAGTGAACAAACAGGCGAAGTCAGGTGGAGTGAAATGACGAAATAGATAAGAGCCAGGAGAGAAACGGACAGAAAACCAAGAATGCAGTGGGACTCAAACTGCATTGAATGACACAATGAAATGCAAAAACAAACCAAGGAGCGGGATAAACACTAATGCCGCCATCATCGAATTCAAGGAATGCCAAATTTTAATGCAGGCTGTCATCTGGCCTGTGCTGCCACAAGTGTAGCCTGCTTCGACCTGACAATTCTCATCCTCGGCTGAACAGCTGCGTGCATGTTGAGCAGAGTCTGTGCAAGAGAGTGGGTTCAAGTGAGTGTGTCGTTTCGCATCTCAGCATGTCGCACAGCCGTCACCTGGAACACGGTTGCCATCCTTGGCGAAGTCTGAGCACACAGAAGGAATTTGGCACTATCTCATCTAACAACTGAGGAATTGGCATCGCAAGCTTCCCCAAACTTCAACAAGACACGTCCATCGCCACAAATTGGCACGCAAACAGTCCTTCCAGCCCCAAAATGCACTTAAGCTGGAGAGAAGAGTGCTCACGAGCCTGTTCTGTGCGGGTGCTCCTGCAACCTGGGCTCTGAACTCGGCGTCCAGTTTACTTCGTGTTCACTTTGTCTCGACAGCGTGTTCCCAGTGTTTCTTGGCTTAAAGAGTTTTGCATACTCCCCTCTCCGTCCATTCCCTCGAGGCTTTGTCTGTGGGAGGACATCTCTGTCACTTGCTTCTCAAAAGATCCAGCCTCCGACTTCGTGAAAGAATCCTCGGGTGCACAAACGAAGCCCGTCTCCTTGGCACACATCAAAGCCAAGTGCCGATGCATAAGCAATTCAATCATATGCCGCCTCGGCTTTTTGAATCGATCCTCCTTACCCATTAGACTGGCAGTTGTGAAACAAGCCCCATATCGCATAACCAATGA